ATGTCTATGTCCCTTACTGGTCAACAAGTTATTGTAAATAGGAGACCTGTCTCCTATTGGTTTCTAAATTCCCTATCATTGGGTCTTGATTAGGCCTATTGTTTGGGCTAAGGCTGAATAGCTACTTTCAGTTAGCCTGATCAGCATGTCTATGTCCCTTACTGGTCAACAAGTTATTGTAAATAGGAGACAGGTTAAATCTGATACCTCCTTCACGGTTCAGAGAGGGTGAAAATTTTTTAACAAAAATCGCTTCCTTTAAAAAAGTTAGGAAAATTAAAACAAACAGAGAGGAAACCAACCAACAGAGAGAAAAGAAGAGAAGGGGTGTCTGTGTACCTTATATTGCCGGCCTCTCAGAGAAAATACAAAGAATATTTCTACAACATGATATTCCTGTTTATTTTAAACCGATAAACACATTGAGACAAAAACTAGTACACCCCAAAGACCGGGTTCCTAACACCCAAAAATGCAATCTGATTTATTCCATCCGTTGCCAAGAAAGTGAGTGCAAGGAACATCACATCGGAGAAACCAAACAAACACTCAAGAAAAGACTTTATCAACACAAATGGAAAAACAATGATAACAAAAGTGCAGTACACGCACACTTAAAAGAAACAAACCACACAATTGAAGATGAACAAGTAAAAATCATAGGAACAGAAAAGAGATGGTTTGAAAGGGGAGTAAAGGAAGCGATTTTTGTTAAAAAATTTTCACCCTCTCTGAACCGTGAAGGAGATATCAGATTTAACCTGTCTCCTATTTACAATAACTTGTTGACCACCAAGGGACATAGACATGCTGATCAGGCCAAATGAAAGTAGCTATTCAGCCCTAGCCCAAACAATAGGCCTAATCAAGACCCAACGATAGGGAATTTAGAAATCAATGGGCCTCTTCACCATAGGGGCGTGACTAACCATCCCCACCCAGTCCTCAAACAGGCCACGCTCAGCCTTTTAGCGCAGAGCAACTTCCCGGAGACTGCACGGAGACTTCAGGGTTGTCTACCGCTGACGAAGCTTCTGTGAGAGAAGCGAAACGTCCTTTTTTGTTTTGTTTTTTTTTTTTTTGTTTTTTGTTTTTTACCCACAAGTACAGATGACGACTCACAGAACCCTTTCTACGATAAGCTTTCCCTGAAAATTAAGGACAATTAACAACATCATTCTATAACTTCTTTTTTTATGGATTTTTATTAACTTTAAGGACCCGTGGGAATAAGCATTCAGTGAGTGGACACGCTCAGAGCATTGGTACTATGGTAAGCTCACTAAACACCACATTGTCTCCAGGAGTGCAGACCCATGCTCCTTTTATGTCAAACATTCATGAGATCTGAGCACAGCTCTGCTGTCTGACCCAAAATAGAGGAGATTCTGGGCCCATTTTGTCCTCCTTTGACGTGTGTGTGTGTGTGTGTGTGTGTGTGTGTGTGTGTGTGTGTGTGTGTGTGTGTGTGTGTGTGTGTGTGTGTGTGT